TTTAGAGGCACTCTGAATCCAGTGGCGTAGTGATTTTTTTCAATAAAAAAATCGCTAATGAAAAATCCCGATTTTCGACTAAGAAAATATATCGTAGTATGCCCTGAAACTTCAATAAACATTTCAAATGTTGTCCCAAGGTAGACATTTCATTACTTGAAATTTCAAAAAATAAATTATTGAAATCGGTTTACAACTTCAAATTTTAGGGGGGTGTTTCTATTAAAAATGGGTCACACTGTATGACTTTCTTATCGTAAGAGCATCTTTTTCACATAAAACCACGACATCTGTTCAGCCCACCAAAAATTTTAGGAGGTATTTGAAAGTTTTTGCCGTACCTTGCACATTTTCGAAAAGCTATTTTTTATCGAGATCCGACCTTTTTATCATTTGTGGAGATCAAATCATGAAGTGTTGTTAATGAAATTACTATGAATCTTCATCATCGGAAAACCATCAGTTTGATACATCACTTTTTTACCTCGTAGCGCTTTTTCGAAAAGCCAGTTTTTATCGAGATTCGGCAAACAGCGGTGTCCAACCACTGTACTGAACATCTCTTGTTATCGTAGAAGATCCATTTTTCATCACAAGTGACCCAAAAGAGGATTTTTTTGATTGCGCAACCTCACAATTTTTGTAGATCGTTCAAATTGTGAGGATCGTCAAAATCGTGGGGCACCCACTTTACGAACTTTTACAATACAACATGCCTGCATACTATCATAATAACTCACAAGTCTGAAAGGTCAGTGAGACTTATTATTTTAGCTGTGGGTTTACTTGAATATAATACAGAAAATCTGCTCAATTATATCTACTCGTGGATTCATCTGGTAGGTACTGACTCAATTATAACTGTGTGAAGTTAATGCTGTAACGAGATGAGTACTTTTCTTTCAGATATCCTTGAAAAAAGTTAATTTTCTGGATCCTTCATTACTTTTGTCTTCGGTAAGCAACGGTCACTTCTATACCAGGCACTGCGTGTTCCCAATACCTCAATGATAATAGAATCAATTGAACATTGATAGTCATCCATTGCTAGCTGATCACTAATTCTTGTTTAACACTTCTAGTATTTTATATTATCTATCTTCTAGTATTATTTCTGTTATCAACAGTCTTGTGATTAATGCGAATAGTTCATCTGGAAAACGACCATAAACAGCCAGAAGAAACAGCCAAATTCCCAAATTTAATGTACAGTGCCGTGAAAAATTGATTTATTTGTTAAGTGAAATAAAACTGTTTTCAATTGTCGTATTTAGTGTCATTTATCAGAGAACTCAAGAAAAATGTAGAATTACTAGGAGCAGTAACTTCGGTGAAACATCGAGAAAATGTTGAAGGTTATGTAAATGAGTCAAGAAGAAGATATAAGGCACCGGAAAGAGGAGAATAGACCCAGATAAGAAGTTGAAGTACGAAGCAGACAGTACGAAACAGTTGTTACATATGTTGCACCATGAATTATACCAAATGCAATTCCTAATGAGGAGTCAAGAGGAATCCGAGACTCAACCACAATTTGAAGAGATATTAGAAAGATGGCAAGAGTGGCCTATCCAAATATTCAAGAAGAGCTCTTCCACCAGTTTGATTCAGAAATTAGCACACCGTAATTTGAAAGAACAAGATTCGGTCAACGACAACCTATGATTTTTCATTTCTACAATAAGATTTATCGAAGACAGATCCTAAGAAGAACGTTTTTGGAATCCTAAATATATTTACAGCATGAAAAAGGAAAACGATGTCCACGTCGATAAGAAGGAGCTTCAGGTAGCAATGGTAAAGCAGCGAGTAGAAACTTGTTGATGAACAGCTGTAAAATGATGGATATAAGCGTCTGATCTGCTGCATTTTCGAATTTCTACTACACTCTACTACATAGTGGATATAACCGACTTCCGAAGGTGACACCTCTAACCCGAATAAACAACACATTAGTGTTGAACAAGAAAAACGATGTAATAATAGAAAATTTCCAAAAAAGCTCAATCGGTGAGGGATACTGATGCCAGCAAGACTCAGGGCAGCACATTACTGTTGAACCCCTTGAGAAAATCGTTTTGGACATGCTGGGGCCATTTCCTACCATACTTTTTGTAACAAACATCTAATGAAAGCAAAACCAACTAGCTGTAAGACAAGCATATTCAAATCATCTGCCTAAGTTTGTTTTTGAAAATCAAATGCCCTGCAACAAATTCTTGCCATTGGCATATTGAAGCTGAATAATTACACTCTATTCTTGCTAGTGACTGGTCAGGAGATGAAATTTCTTAACAATTCGTTGTTTGACAGATGGATTAATCAATACAAATGAGATGCTGTTCTAGAAGAATCGCTGTATCGCCAGTTAAACTTGTTTCTCTCAAAATATCAGCATGGTCCGAAAGAAAGATTGAAGACCGTCCACAAATTTCCAAGATTCCAGTTGTAACTTGCCAATTATAGCAGGTTCCATGAAAAACCAGTGAAAGTGAGTTTTGAAAAAGACGATGCAGTATGGTTTTAGCAACTCGTACGTTAAAAAGGGGCAACGCACGAAAGAATAAAGAAGAAGTACTTTTCTGCAGTATTCTGGTGTTTCAATATTATAGATAAACCTGTATGTATTAATACTAAGAGTAAAAACTAAAAATTTATAGTGGTTTCATTTTACTTCCTCATTACTACCGAATTTTGATTGTCGAAGTGATGAAACAAAATGTCCCTATGCTGAAGCGTTCGGGATTCATCATTGATAATGAGGATATGAAATTTCGAGCTGAAAAATTGATTGGAGAATTATTGTTTTCGAACCTGTACGGACGACTTGGCACATCTAAAGCCGTTAGATCAATAAGTGAAGCAAATTGCGAGTTGTGATGGTCTTTTAAAAACTGCAATATGCACCGAATGCCATCTGGCTCCACCATGATCTCAAGTTCATTCGAAGGAGTTATCTGAATTTGTTGTACAAACTTAGGAATGGATTCTGACACATATATTCCAAACTCCTTCAGCTGATCTTTCAGTAATTCGGATTTTGTCTTCTGAGCTGGCGGTTCTTTTTCCTCGTTGACATCCGCACAAATTTTTGAAACTTTTCTTCCGAGGTGTCTTATGTGATATTTCATTACTGGAAAACCCTTATTTAGGGTTTTGAATAGATGCATGAACTATAAAATATATAAAAATGTTCGATAAATACTAATGATCAACAGCAGTTACAGAAATTGACAAACTATGACAGTTTCACACTCAATATATAAGCTATGTAGATTATGTCGCAGAGAGCGGAACACAAGTTTGAAGAACTGATATAGACGTAGTAAACAAGACAAATTAAAGCATATATCCAGCAAGATAAAGTAGGAATTGAAATACTCACAAGGTGGGCAATTATTATGATTCGACAATCCTATGTTATTGGAAATGTTACACAAATGGAAAAAGTAGAACTGTTCGTTCGTTTTTGAAGATTGAAATTCTCCCTTCGACACTGATGTAGGTTTTCCATTAACGTTTCAATCTTTTTACAACATAAAAAATCATAATACCCCAAAAACAGTAAAAAAACGTATTTTCTCAACAAAGAATAACTTTTAAGCACCGTTTCTGAATATTTAGTTTCTGTAGTTGAATCTTGACATATTTGAATGAAATTGTTACATCCTATCGCTGTCATTAATGATACGTCTATGTGAGTTATTTCACTCGTTCACTGTTGCTCTCTCTCTCTCTCTCTCTCTCTATGTTAATTGGTTTTGCTTCCATTGAGAGGCATTAAGCCAAAGACTCACTGTCAAAATTACAAGCGTAAAATTTCAACAGAAATAGTCATTTTTGTTTCCCTATAGTTTTTCATCGCCACCTATCGAATATCTAAATTTTGGACACGAAACTCCTCGATAGGCTAGCAGGATATACCAAGAGTTCAAATATTTGACAAGTAAGGTTGCGAAACTGGTCGACTCACGATCCAAAGTTCATGGATTCGAAATCAACTACGACTAGATATTTTTCTCAAGCAATTTTTCTACTTGATGTTGGATTCATTCTGCTACCATTGTCTGCTATTTTATGTGTCTTACTGCACTCAGTGCATTCTAAGTGGCTCAAGGAGTTATTAACATACCTTTCCAGGATATGTGGCTAAAGATCATGACAGTCGATGCTGTTGACACTGACAAAAAAAGAAGACATTGTACGTTACTGACAGTGACACTGACAGCGCGGAAAACAACAGCTGATTGACGATTGTTGTTCAATAACATATGAGTATTAAAGTATGTGAAGGTTGTACCTTTATTAAAAACAAATAAATACATTTTTATATAATGGAGGTGTCAACAATTGAAGAAGGACTCAAGAAGTACTTCAAATTTGATAAATTCAAATCAGATCTTCAAAGAGAGGCAGTCATTGAAGTTTGCCAAAGTAAAAAATTCTACAGCATGAATAAAACTATTATTTTAAACAACCTGATTTCAGGAAAACATGATGTTTTCATATCGATGCCAACAGGATCTGGGAAATCTCTGTGTTATCAACTACCAGCCGTACTGCAGGAAGGCAAAATTTCCATTATATTTTCTCCTTTGCTGGCACTCATCAAGGTACGATTTGAACTTAACTATAGGTATATAACTATCAGGACCAGGCAAAAACGGCCTTCGTCGACTTCATCGAATCACGAGTACCCATAATAAGCTAACGGAATTAATCGACTTGTGTTACATTGGCAAAAGTGCATTGATTCAAATGATGCTCATTTCCATTTATTTGAATTTGCAGTCACTGATTTATTTGCTGAGGTGGATACACCACAATATTATTTTTGAATCCCTCATTGACGTTTTCAGGATCAAATAGATCATCTTATTGCGTTAAAGATAAGAGCCGCCTCACTCAACTCAAAAATTGGTAAGGCAGAAAGGGAATCTCTCATAGCCGATTTGAAATCTACATCCCCCAATACCAGAATATTGTATGTCACTCCTGAACAGGCAGCCACAGCCACTTTCAAAGTAAGTAAATGATTTTTCAATAATCACTGCATGGAGTTAAGTTCTTTTTTGTTACAGGACTTATATCAAAACCTACATAACTTCCAGAAGATAGCCTATTTAGTTGTTGATGAAGCACATTGTGTCAGTGAGTGGGGACACGATTTCCGCCCTCAGTATCAAAGATTAGGAGAACTCAGAGAAAAAGTTGATGTGCCTTGCATTGCTCTTACAGCTACAGCAAATACAGAGGTGAGTTTCGGAACAGATGAGGTATGAAAGGGATGTGAAAATCACCACCGAAATGAAGGTACATAATCCCAAAATTATTAATAGACATGATCTTATATGGACATTGTTGTACACAATTCTGTGACATATTCCTATCAGGATGTTTCGCAGACTATCAGTCTGTGAATATTCCACTTTCAGAAAGTAATTATCAGAGAATTTTGAGTTCCATCAAACAAATTAATGGCAATAATGGTTACAAGGTAGATATAATTGACTTAATACTTTTCAAAAAACTATAAAAACAAGCCATTTCAAAGGTATGTCTCCTTCATGAAATGATAGCAAGCGTCGTAAGACATTGACATACTTTGGACATGCCAATAATATCGCTCGTTTTTTGAAAAAGAAAGACTTGGACACGGCTTACAGAACAAAAAATGATCCATTGAAAACAGTGAAGACAAAACTTCAGTGTCAGAAAGATCAGAAGTATATAATTTTTTGTCCGAAACTTTATATTGGCCAACCGTGGAGAATCTTTTCACAAAGAATAATATAGCATAGTTCTTTTTCACATTGGCAAACCACATTCTCTGGCAGAAGGGCATGAGTTGAATCACGATTATGATATATTACATTTAGAAGAGAAAGGTTTGAAAGTTGATTTTGAGTAAAAATAGTTTACCTAATGCTTTAATAAACCGAAACTGGTCGTAACAAATAAGAATCATAGTAGAAATCAGACAAAAGCTTGTATCTCTATCCTATGTTTCTTGAATACTTTGGATTTTCATCAAATATTGGCCAATTCCATCACATTTATTAAAAACTGCATCAATTTTTAGGTTACCAAAGATATAATTACCAGTTTAAGATTAGGGAAAAATCACAAAACTTTCAAAACCTCAAGTTTCCGAAGCAACTTGTTCTACGATGTATATTTTCCTAATATATTGGAAGACCCTTTCAAACACCTCAGGGATTTCATCAATGACTGCCTCAATTTTGAAGCTGAGAAAGATCTGGCAAAGGAAAAAAAATCTTGTGGCATTATTTATTGCAGGACTAGAGAACAGACGGAACTTCTGATGGAAAGACTGAATAAATTAGGAATAAAATCTTTGTGTTACCACGCTGGACTGAAAACAGAGGAACGAAAGTCATTTCAGGATAAGTGGCAAAACGGTGATGTACCGGTGATATGTGCCACTATCAGTTTTGGAATGGGAGTTGATAAAGCTTCAGTCAGGTAAATTGATATTACATACTTAGAAGGTAAAACTGAAAACTCTGACGTAGAATAAATGCAATTCCTTCTTGACGCACATGTCATCAACCAAGTTGGCGTCAAAAAGAGTATTGTAGTTGTGGTGTTTGGGAAAAGTCTTTGGTTTGTATTTAAATTGATATTGTTTATGAAACCTACAATTTTATGATCCTTTCTGTTGTATCAGATTTGTTATACACTGGGGCAGTCCCAAAGATCCGGCATCCTTCTATCAAGAATCAGGAAGAGCAGGAAGAGATGGAAAACCATCTCGTTGCAGAGTTTATTACAATCGATCCGACAGCAAAGCTATAGAGTTTCATTTGGTGCAGGATTTAGGAAAAGCAGGAAGTAAGGAAAACAAGAGAAAGAGGATGGAAGAAGCTATAAAAGGATTCAAGAAAGTCCTTGAGTTTTGTGAGAATCCCACGTGAGTTATATACCGAATAAGAGGTCTGTTTGAAAAATAAGGTGAATGTTCAACTTTGGCGGGCTGAAGCAATAATGCCTCAACCACCATATTCACCAGATTTGGCCTCTTGCGACTTTTTCCAAGTTTGAAGAGACCCATGAAAGGACGGCGTTTTGCGATGAATGAGGAGATAAGAGAGCTCAATGACATACCAAAAAGTGCATATCAGAAGAGGACAAAATAGAAATTGAAAATTAATAAATATTTTTTGAGAAAAATAAAAATTCATCTTATTTTTTAAACAGATCTTGTATAGTGATTGTCACTATTGGTAGCAAGATTTCAAATATCATTTCCATGAGTTAGTCTGTATCTAAATTTTTAGGGAATGTCGCCACAGACTTTTTTCCAACCATTTTGGGGAACCACCTCCCAAATGTAAAGACAGATGTGATTTTTGTAAGGACAAGAAAAATGTTCAGGAGATGGTGGAACACTTCCTAACCAAAAGGATACAATTCAATTCTATGCCCACTAGCTATTCCAGTACTGACTTTGATGATTTATATGGATATGGAAGAAAGGGGATATCAGAGTAGGTTTGTTTGGAAAACATGTTTTGAAGACTCCAGTGATCTCAAATTTTTAATTTTTCATTTGCTTAAAGTTGTGTTTTGTCAAACGAAACTTTCCACAGACATCACTCCATTCTCTAACTAAATCACACAAGAATTTTTAAAATCAGTAATAATACGAAGTCAAATATTTTTATTAACACACTTTTATTAGCTTCACCTGCATGTATGTATGTATGTTTGTTTGTTTGCTTGTAACTCTCGAGCTCGGGATCTGTATTTGACAGAATTGCTTGATGTATTCGCGGGCAGATGGCGCTGTACGTAATCTCCTTGATATATCGACAGTATTGCTTGATCTATTCGCAGTCAGATGGCGCTGTACATAACCTCCTTGATGTAATTCGAACTCACTTTACATGTATTTCATCATTTGAAAAGAAATTTTTTTTCATTAACACGCGCACTGCTGCCTTATTTGTAACCTTCCTTTGCGCGCCTGCTGCCTTGGGCTTGGTAGCTGATTTTAAGGTTTCCTCTCCAGAATCAGAAAATATCAATGATCATTTTTCTAAACAATATACGGCTGATTGATCCCAAAGTTTAGATAAAATTAATATAGTTTGAAAAGACTAAAAAACACGCTTTTATAAAAAATTGAAAATAAATATAGTTTAAAAAACTAAAAAACACGCTTTCAAAGAACATCGAACTAAAAAGTTAATTTTTTTTTTAATAAGAAATTGTAAGTACTCTCAATAACGAGCTCAGCAACTTATATAAGTGGTTATGTTGAAATAAGTTGATGTTGAATTCCTCAAAAACTAAGTGTTTGTTAGTAGGTTCAATTTGAAACTGTTAGAAATTTTATGGTGCAGACTTGCCTTTGTTCCTAAATTCATAAATAGTTCATCCATCGAGTTTGCAACTGAAATTGAGAATTTGAGCATCATCTTGGGTTATATTTGAAACTATTATTTTGCCATATTATACTTAGAGCAGTTCTATATTGATTTCTTGCAATCAAGAAGATGTACACAAATTACAAATGCAGCAGAGTGAATTAATGCGAATATTATTTGGATGTTGTAGATGCACACCAATTAAAACCATGTTAGCTTCACTAAATTGGCTGAGGGTTGAGAAGAACATTAAAAAGGCAAATTTCCTTTGAATATTCAAAATTGAACATAACCAAATGCCTGAATATCTGAATACATATCAGTTTCAAGTAGCCAAGTGCTAAAAAAAGTTATTCTTTTTTACATTCTATTACATGACACCTTTTGTTATTTTTTAAGTGAACAGGAGGGATACAAAAATGGTAATGATGGTAGTGATGATGAATTTGGTTCATTCGAAAGGGAACAAGCAGCCAAAAAAGCTACCAATGACTTTATTCAGAAACAATTTGCTTTGAGAAGAAATCAGCAGGTAGGAAACAATTCACCAGAAAACGAAAGTCTTTTTTATATACTTAAATTATATATTTTTCACAGGAAGTTTCTAGAGAAACGATTGACAAGTTATTTTCAAAACATGCGAGAGTCAAAGCAGCTGCATCTACTTCCAGCAAGGTCAAGGGGCTCACTTTGGCAACCAGAGAGCAATATTTGACAAAATTAGTTGACGTTTTCTATGAGAACTATAGCAAGTGTCAAGAAGACCCTACTTTGGATAGACAGGATGTTGAAGATTGCTCAGTGGATGCAGAGTATGAAGTTTTTTCAGCTAACACCAATATGACCATGTACAGGAACTCTATTGCAAGAATGGTAAGTTTTTTATTATTTTATGGAGTGCATATTCTATTGTTATACTTCCTTATAGAGTAATGCAAAGAGCCACACAAAAATAAAGAATTCCCTTTCCCCCTAATGCAACTCTATGAGAGCCAATTAATTCAAATTCAATTCAAAGGGAACAGGTTTCTATAAAATTCAGTTGAATATAAATTAAAAAGACAGTTTTAAAGTTTTTTTTCGAAACTTATAGTAACAATTTCATGAAGTATTCTAGGTTGGCTTTACATGCTGCCTGTTTAAAAAATTAAGTGAAATTTCACTTTTCTCAAAAAATATTTATCAATTTCTATTTTTTACGGTTTTCTGTGCTACGCTAGGTGATTCTTCTTGCCACAAGATGACGCTGCGGAACATTAGGAAAAAAGATAATATCAAAGTGACATTTTTTATTAAAATTCATATAATATATTATGTTTGTGATTTTTAAGGAATGTTCTCTCAAAATATCCGTTGAAAGGGTATTGCTGGCGGAAATCATTTGTTATTTGAAAGATATTACTATAGTCGAATGCGAGGCAGGACCAATCGAGATAGTTGTGTCATTGAAATCTTCTCACGAAGTTAGAGTAACTCTGGTATCTCCAAAAAAAGTAAGGGATATTAATTTATTATTAATTTTCAAAGCATTCTGGAAACCTTTGGGAATATTTTGAAACGAAATATCTTCTTTTCTTTTCAGTCTTTGCAACTGAGTACCTTTGATATAATAGATTATTGCAATTGCTAATACTTACACATACAGTTAGAGAATTTTATGTACTTGAAGCAAAATCATCCTAATCGAATTATTCATCACAACACAAAAGTTTGTTGTCCAAAACAAGTAAAATATTGTTCATACGAACGAACGCGGAACTACGTATACGCAGAACTGCGATTGATTCTAGAATTACAGCACTACTAATGAAAACGTACAATTATTTTACGTGAATATTGAGAAGACATCAATTACTTTGATTGTAATTGAAAAACTTTAAACTTTACCGCGTTTAATGAAATGATTTAGTATTTTGGTCATATATGATGTTGGTTCATCAATTTTCGAAAAACCTTACCAGGTAACTTTCGAACACGGAACTTTCTGGTGAATTTTGGAACATGCCTAAGATGCATCACTTCCGTTATTCGCTATTGGTAACACTGACAATATTATACTCTTTGTGTCACAGAACATTACAATTAATGTATCTATCTGCTTTTTAGTGTCATTTGTCGAATTTTTGTTTTTGGACGTAGAGTTACGTCAATTCATCAATATTTTGCAGATTAATTGCTGCGTTGTTGGAAAATTTAATTTTTCGTGTAAATTTAAACAACATAATTGTTTATGGTCCAGTAACAATCGATTCATCGTCAAATGGCCAAGTTTTACGAAGCTACACACGATAACCTAGTTATTTTTAGAAGACATCCTCCTGATAGTCCTGACGCATTTTCAATATTTTCAGATATCTAACGTGAAAAAACTGACTGCTGATGAAATAGTGCATGAGAAGTTGTTGCTATTTGAACCGAAACCAGCAAAACATGAAACATTGAGTGATCTCTTTCGAAATATCACTAAGGAACAACAACAGAAGAAACTGGGAAACCCATTTGGAAAAGGTGAAATTTCTGATGACAAAGTGAACATAGTACCTGAATTCAAAACAGCTAGACAAGAATTAGAAGAAAAGATAAATATATCTAGTAAAAACCAACCATTAATCAGTAATTTTTTCAAGAAGAGTTTCGTTGAAAAGAACGAAATTGAAGAAAAACCGAAAAAAACATCTGAAAACTCTGTAGAAATGAGTGGTCGCAAGGATCTCAAAAGTCTCTTCGGTGACGACGATTCCGAAGAAGAAAACTTCCCTACTGAAAAAAATTCAAGGTTAGATGCCACCGGTGTGAGTGATAACTGTGAAAGTGTGAAGAATTCCAGAGATAAACACAAAAGTAAACATAGCAAAAGTGAGAAGCACTCTGATAAGCACAGAGAAAAAAATAAGGATGACAAGGAGAGAAAGCGAAGGAAGAGTACAGAAAGGGAGGATGACAAGAAAAGGAAAAAAGAGGAAGAAATGTTCCATAAGAGGTTCCATTACGACATCGACGATGATGGTGAACTCTCCAGTACAGAAGAAAAATACAATGAATTAGTCAGAAAGGAGACTGTAGACGAAAAACATAACATAATAGACTTAGATTCTAGCAGTAATATGAAAGAGAGCCTGAGTAGAAATGATAAACAGGAATCAAAGTTAGACGAATCCGTCATACTTCCTGAAGTCAAACCTCACAAGCAGAACGGTGAAAGCAGCAAAAAGCAGAGGTTGAAGAAAACAGAAGTTGGAGGATTGGTAGTCAAATTGTTGACTCCTGCATATGCAGATCGAAGATTTGAATCAAGGGATCTTTTCAAAAGTCTTGCCAGGAGTATATCACACGCTTTGGCTGACAAAGGTAAATAGATTGTTTAATTTTTCACTCTTTTTTTTCATGCAACCAATCGTTATTGTTTCATACTTATTGTGATCAGTGCTCAGAAATTTCAATTTTTTCACATTTAGTCAGTTGATAACAAGAGATGGCTTGGGGCAGTTCTCCATTTGCCATCCTCAAAGATTGTCTCTGTGACAACAAATCTGAACAAGGTTTGTACATTGGATCAACTTCCGGAAAGTTTTTCGATGAATTATTGTCACAACAGTTGTTGGAAATGTTTTATGTTACCTTTTTCTGTTTCAGATGAGAATGAAATCAAGGATTATGTGCACAAGTTCCTAGAAAAGAATGAAGCGATTACATCACAAACGAAATTGTAGTGTTAAGTTAACTGTAACTTTATTACATATATGATGGAGAGGCAAGCTTGTTTATTGAGTGTCTTATCAACCATAATTGTATAATTATTTGATATTATCTGGGGTTAAAAGAAATGGTTTCAATATTATGAGTGATGGAGAAAAAGCCATGGGTTTGTGCGTTTTATACGAAAAGTGATTCTTTATATTCTGTAACAAATAGAAAAGTAAGCAGGTGTTAGATATGTCCTCAGTATATTTTGTTACTGTTGGGTATTGTTATGCATTTTACAACTTTGCAACCACAGCGTTACTGTTTGAAACTTGTGTATGGGTGAAGCGGGAACCTAGAAGAAATTATTTTTCCCACATATGAGAACTGTCAGATTTTATTCTTGATGAACGGTTACTTTTGACTTTGTGAATAACATTTGAAAACTGTTTTCGTCATTCTCATCTTCTCAACCTTCTTGTAAACATTTTTCTGACTTGAGAGTACAATCACTGTATGCCACTGTCAACATTTCAGGTGTTTGTATAATTATTATTATGGATAACTTGAAGAACCTAAAATATTGAGCTCAAAACGTGTCTGAAAACTGTATCAAGCAGAGATACATACAGCTACAGGACTGAGAAGCCCCTCAAGATGTATGTTTCATTATATGTATCTACAAGAACCCAAATGGAATTTTAATATCCATTTATTGTTTACCCCATAATCTGTACTATGTAAAATTGCAAACAAAAGTTTCTATTCCTTTATTCCTAATACTTTCTTTGTCATATACCTACCCAAACTTTATGCATATACGAGTTCTCTCACCGGTCAGACTCGGTCCAGTAGTGTAAGTATAAGAAAATGAGTAGATCCAAATAGAATTGAATTTAAATTGAAACATCATCTCTCCCAACTACCTACACAGAAGGTAGTTGGGGTATATTTTTAGTTGTGATTAGTTTTTGGGAGAGAAAGGTGTTTGGCTGTCTGTTTCTCCATCTTTACAAAAATAATATGAGAAACTTCTGAAGGCCTGAAAAGCGATCGATTTCAAAATATACTTTACATAGATGTTTATATCATGCACGTAAGATACTTTCAGATACAAACTGGAAGAAAAAACCCTCATGAAACAACTACTTTTATATTGACAATTAAAATTTACACTGTAAAAGACGTTGCATTGAAATATTCAAACATAGATTTCTTTCGCTTTAATTATTTAAATATAGGAGAGCGTTTCCCCTATTACATATTGTGGTGTGCATTTGGAATGCATTTCAGTCTCTTGATGTCCAATTCTGCAAAGCCATTCAAGCATATTAATTCAAATAACTTGGCAATTGGTTAGTCGCGCCCATCAAGAGATAGTTCGCTTAACAAACCCTTATTTGTTCGAAACTGGAAATATGGTATTCCTTCATTTCAGGAAATTACCCATTACAAAAGTTTCATTGATTCTGGGCCCTTTTGCATCAGTACTTGTTTAAATTTATTTTCATTCATTTGACAGAGGTACTGTTGGTTTCTTTCATGACAATAATTTAATTGTGAAGAAAATCACTTGTACTGTAGAAATCATCAATTTTATAACCCTGCCATTTAGTTGGAATAAACTATTTCATCAGTGGAATAAATAGGTTTTTAAAAATTATCATGACGAATCATGATAGTTATTTATCATAGTTCTGTGTGGGGAAAGATAGGTCTGTAAGTTTTGTAATATATTGTTTTAAATTATCTATTATTTGTAAATAATTGAAAAAATACCAAAATTTGGGAGACAGTTTGAAAACTAGGTTCAAATAGAAACTCTGGAAAACGTTTTTCTCAAAGTGTTGTAGCTGAAGGGAATGAAATTTTTCACGGTCTCATGAAAAATTAATATATCTGGTGAAAGTTGAACCTGTTTAATTTTTTTTGTGTTGCAATGCTGCCTCTTGCTCAAATGTTTAATAAGTTTCTCGGAAAGTTATGGACATGAAATACTCTAGAATCTAGGCATTGAAATAGTAACACCCTGTACATTGCTTCATAGACCTCAGAGGTTTGAATTCCGTGAAAAGTTGGATTTTTGTTGTGAATAGTTTTATTGAAATTTATTCATGTAGGTGCATATATGGTTTTTTGTAACTGAGCTATAATTTGATTAGGCATCCTTTATTATTTCCATTTATAGGGTTTCTATCTTTTATACATAGAACCTCTTGATTATATTTCCTAAAAAATTATTTATTTTTAATTGATCGTTAAACGAAATGCAAATAAACAAATGTTTTATAGATGTTGAGGGTTTATTTTTAGCGTACTGGTGATTTATAGGCAACTAGCGACCAGCTCCGCACGAATGCAATGCTGATACTAAATATACATATAAACGCGTGCGATCGCCGTTAATAATAAGGCGCGGCTCCCACTGGAGCGATACGATATGCGATGCAACAGGCGATAAGCAACCTGATCCTGATTTGACACCGATCACTCATAACCGTGCATACATAATGGAAGCAACTAATCTAGTGCACACTGGAGCGATCGCGATACTACACTGATAATTATCGGAATCGCGTCGAAAAGGGGGGCACGGCTGCCGGGTCGCTTAAGCGAAAGACACGTTTATATCAAGTCAGCAAGAAGAGGTGCAATCCTCTATTTCCTTCATGAAATTGGTGGAGCAGAACCCGTGCTCCTCTTGACACCAATCTCAATAAAACACGGTAACTATTTGAGCTCATTCTATAAAACTCTCTAAATTTCTGTTCGTGATGAGAGAGCTCACGAGAAACCACTGCCGAACTGTGTTTAATATTAAACATAATATAGGTGTACCCAGTATTTTCTAGACTCCCGTTTCCGGTATTTGCGCGGCCTTCGACGCGCTATTTGAAGGCACGCGCCCCTAGCCCCCGGCCGGTACCGCCGCAACCGCTATGCCCTTGCATTTTGAATCAATAATATCTTCGAAAATATTCATTTAAATTACATGCTGGAAAGGGCCGTATTGATCTAGATTAAATGCGCAATGTATTTAAGGTACTTGATTGGAAAAGGGTTGCTTTGATCGCTTCGTAAGAAGCCATTTCTTGAGGATAAAAAATTTATATTGTGGGTTATCCCGAAGAGATAGACATATACCTTCGCGGACGTTTTAGTACACCTTTTGAAGGTGTACAACAAAGACAGGGATAGGCAGACAGCGGGAATCGACTTTGTTTTTTACTAAGTAGTGAAGCAACTTAATTTGATTTATTGAAATCTTCATGATATTGGCAATGAAGTGTCTTTTTTCCAATATCATGTCTGAAAATTAAAAGATTCCATGCCAAGTTACTTCACGCGACGTTTCGATTGTTAGTATCCACAATCGTCTTCGGGTGGATTGTTAGTAGTTAGTGGATTGTTGGACAGACAAAGCTTATATGAGCAGTGCTGCCATTTTCAACCGCTACAATTCTCATACTTGGGCACAACAAAATTCTCCATCTATAGTGGAGCAGAGAAGTCAAGAAAAATTTGGATTTAGTGTGTGTGTGCAGATGTTTTTAATGTAATGACACTCTCACATCTAGGAGGTATTTATACATTTCAAGGTAAAATATTGAACCCCTTGTTGATGAATGGCCACTAATGGAGCTCGGAAAAATATATTTTTTGCAATTGTCACCTATTTTTGGCTGTAAATTTTGGTAATAATTGGCTAGCTAATCTTTAGCCAGCTAGGTCACCGGACCTAACGTCTATGGACGTTTACGTCTGGGGAAGGTTGAAAAATCTTATTTTTGAACTGATGACCAATTCTAGATAGGAATTGCAAGCGGCAGTGATGCAAAGTTTTGCTTCTATCACTGCTATTGAAGTAATCAATTCGGCAAAAAACGTTCAGAAAAGGTGTCGTCGCCTGTGTGTAGGAGAAGCTGGTAGATATTTCGAACACCATCTCTAAAGAAACATATTTCATTGTTCTTTATCATTATTATTATTGTTGAAGTTTCATTCATCAGTAGTAAATATAGTATATAGGTAATGTATTATCAGTTTTATTGAAACTATGCGTTTTTATCACTGCTGTGAAAAGCTTTCTCAACATTTGATAGCTACTACTGAACAATTTCTTTGTTTTATCGCCGCGTAGTCCAAAAGCCTACTTGATCAAAGTGTGCGTTTCAAAGTCTACATGAAAAAACCTAAAAGCTCTGTATCTCAAAGATAAGTCTAGCAAAACATCAAGTGTGCTACATTTTTGAAAGGGTTTTGAAAAGCTCTATTGAAATATGCAGGAATATACAGGGTGTCTCATAAAAATAGTTTTCCATCAATAGCTATTTATATTTCATTTGAAAAAACAAGTTTTCTATACCATTGAATTAGAAACAATGATAGATATCGATATGCGGTTTCACCATTAATTTTGTCATAAAATTTGACCCTCAGACACAGCCATCAGTTTTCATCAATCTAGTTTCCCTTTTAAAGTGTCCAATTTGTCCCACTCTGTACGATTAAAATGCAAAAATTGATTTTTCCCAGTTTGGAGAAGAAATACAAAAAAAATAATTCCAGCTGGAAACCGCAGCTATATTTTCAGTTTTATTTTAAAATTCAATTACGTTTTCAATATTCACTCCCCGTAAGCCATGCTGACGTTACGTCGATGCAGAAGGTACGTATGTTATTCCGCATAGTAGATTTGGAGGACTCAGCCAGGCGCGATCTCGACGTAACAGTCGCTTGCTCATTTGTTCTTTCTCAGTTCTTCGACAGACCGTTACCATAGCCTACTTCGTGTGACCGCTTCAACAGTTTCCAGCAAAACAATGAAATTACAGTTAATACTTTCGTTTGTTTTAACAATAGTTTGTGTGTTGGCCCAACACGAAAACCACAACCATGAGGATCAAAGGGTGAGTTTATTTTTTAATTTTTCACTACCGGAAACGATTTGAAATTCATCGGGTGAAAGTCTGCGTTTGCATCTAAAATGATCCGAGTCCTAGAAACCCAGATTGGCGGCTAGATCAATATGGCAAATATGCGCAGATTTTGTGCCTACTTTGATTTTCCGGTAGTTTTTTATAATCCGAAGTGGGGCTTGAAACCATCATTGGTTTTCCCCTTGTTTCTCAAAGGAGAAAGCAGATTATTTCAAAATGAGAATGCGCTTTGGTACCGTTCCAAGAAAAATCTTCAAAGTTCGAAAAAAATATAAAAACTCATGCGTCGGAGTTTGTCGGTCTTTAAATTCGACATTTACTCACGACGGTGAAATATAGGTATAGCGCTTTTCTTTAAGTCCCCCCCTCTTTATTTTTTTGAACAGGTCAACTAAAAAAATGAAATTTGGGATAATGAAATTAATACATGAATACTTTATTTTGAAGTGAAATTGATAGATGAAACTTTCGAAATGGAAAAAAAATCAAATGGAAAGGGGGGTATTTTTCAAGCTCCTGCTTCACAACCCTAGAATATAATGTCAATATCTTCAACTACTACAAAATGGGGAAACTTTCAATTCAGAAGATGCTCGAGATGTTTGCCTTGAACTTTTTGACATATGAACAGCCTATCCGATATTTCACGCCGAACATTTTCGAACACAGTAACGTCAATATCTCTACAAATATTTATTATTGTCTGCCGTATATCCAATATTGAAGCAGCTTCAGTTTCGTACACCTTTTGCTTCAAATAGCCCCATAAAAAGGTCCAAAGCTGTTAAATCTGACGAGCGACCTTTCGGTCTCGTGAAAGTTACACGTCACACTGTAAATAGAAATCGCTTCAATTTTTTCTTCCAATGGACGAGAATTGACCGTTTTAGAGATTGTTGGCGTGGTACCTTTCTACTAGTAAAACCGAAAACTAATTGAGAATATTCTAACTGTTCATTGCCATACTGACATTTTTGTCGTTTTTATAAAAAAAAAATAACTTAACAAACCTTATCGGGTTGTTGGAATTGCCATATGGCAGATAAAAAAGAATATTTCTAGAAATATCAATATTGATGTGTTTGTTTTCAGGAAATTATTAAATGTTCCGCCATTTTGTAGTAGGTAAAGATATTGACTTCATGTGCTAGGGTTGTGAAGTATTCGTCAGGAGCTTCAAAATAATGTTTCGCAAGACCCGTTTTCCATTTATTTTTTTCCCCCAGATGGCGCCCAGTCGCCATTTTAAAAGTTTCATCTGTCAATTTCACTTCAAAATAAAGTATTCATGCATTAAATTCATTGTTCCAAATTTTAAGTTTTTGACTTGACCCGTTCAAAAAATAAAAGGGGGGGACTTTAAAGAAATGCACTGTATATCTACACCTATATTGATACGTTCATCGAAATTATTAATAACCGTGATATTTACAATGAATAAATTGATTGATTGATTGATTGATTGATTGATTGATCACAAAATGAAACTGTTTCACCTACGAAGTGGGAAACGGTACTATTTTGCAATAACTTCAAAGAAATTACATTCACTTGCATTGAAGGAAAAATATCATTCATGGAGATGACCTTTAGTGCAAGATGTCACCGTAAAATTTGAACCAGAACTTGTTAAGCTACTAAAATAATATTTTGTTAAAAAATTATATCATACTCTTATTTGTGTGATCAAACCCAAGTCGGCACCACTGCCAACCTTTTCTGAACTCAAATAGTTATTATGAATATTACCCTAAAACCAAAAATAACGGCTTCTCCACATTTCGTCAAGTTATCGTTATCAGGGAGATCATCGATAATATCGTAGCGATTTTCATAAACCTCGCCCTTCAAAAATACCCAGAAATAAAAATTCATTGGTATAATATCCGGAGAACGGAAGGCAGGCAAACTGGTCCTTAACATGAGACCGCAGAGCCGACACTCGAGTCACCTGACTTACTCGCTGCAGCTAGATGCATCAACTGAATTGATGATTTTTGTGAGGTTATGTGAATCAGTGAAGTGTGGAAATTTGTGTTTTATCTCGATCTCTCGTATCTTTTCATTGTATTGCTTACAATGAACTGCACATTAATTTAAGTTGTCTCAGTAGAGTTATATATGTTCTAGTTAGGTACTGTCATAATATCAAATCAAACCTGTGAATTTTTCAAGAAGTAGGTATTCATGCAAAGTTATAACACACCACTTAAAAAAAGTTTTTCGTAAAACAAATTCGCCACGCCTGACTGCCTGTCTGTCTGACTGCGATAAATTCGAAAACTTCTGAACGAATTTACATACGGGTTTCACAAATGAACGAAACAATTCAAAAGGAGGTTTAACCTGTATAATTGTTTATTGTTTTGTGTGAATTGATTGAAATATGATGATGTTATCCATGATTAGTCGGGGTGGTGGTGCCACCCGTATGGGCTTCCACCGAAAACAATTATTACATATTGTTTTCCTTTAATGAAAATTGCTTCCTTCAAACCACTGAAATTATGAAATAATTGAAAGCTAAGCCATCAAAACAGCAATAAAACTGATAACATGATTACATGACCTTGTTTTCTTTACCTCTAAGAACAGGTAGCTAGACTTTATCAATGTTCATTGTCTCTTCTTTTCTATTGTATATACTCTTGGATACACTGTTTATAACCTTTGGTGTTGGGATATAACTTTAGGAGTTATATCCCAACACCAAACTCTGGGACAGTTAGTAATTTTGAATTTTATCGAGTATTACTGTATCTATTGATAAATCTGTTTTTCCGTTAACCAGTTGTCGTCCCCCTACGAACTACAACTCACAATAGTCGAAACTTGGGTGAGCTAAGGACTAACGAGATCTCACCTCGTCGAATGAGATAGTGTAAGTGCCTTTTTTGTTAAGAGCATTTTCGGATACAGCTGATTTGGCGGTTTGTACGAGTCGACAATTTCTCGTGTGTTCAAAGAGACGGGTACCTACACTTCTTTTCGTGGTTCCAATATAGACTGACCCGCAGCTACAAGGAATCAGGTATACTCCGAGTGTTGCTAAAGTATATAAGTATACAGGGTGTAACTAAATGAGTGTAAAACATTTAAGGAGGTGATTTCACATCGAAAAAAAGATAGGATCTTTCATTTTAAAAAATTTCATTGTAGCATCCCTTGTTAAGATACAGCCCCTTAAAGGGGGTACATAAAATTTGTATAACAATTTTTTCACAAGCACTAAAAAAGTTACAATGTTGAAATTAACCTGACGTTTTGTACTACCAAAAA